GCTGCGGGGCCTGAAGAGCCTGGTGTTCTCTGAGATGTGGGACGTGTTTCTGGTGCGCTTGCTCATGGCCGTGGCGGTCATGCTGTACTATAGCAACTTTGTCTTGGCCCTCGAGGAGCGCTTCGGGGTGCGACCCAAGGTGACGGGCTACCTCATCAGCTACAGCAGCGCCGTGGGGGTCCTGGCCGGCCTGGTCCTGGGGCCCGTCCTGCGGCTGTACAGGCACAACTCCCCCAGGCTGCTGCTGCACTCCAGCGCACTCACCTTCCTGCTGCTGCTGCTCTACTCCACGGCCCCCACCCTGGGCACCGCAGTCGTCCCCTCCATGCTGCTGTCCTTCTCCACGGCCCTCGGCAGGACGTGCATCACAGACCTCCAGCTAGCTGCAGGCGGGGCCCAGGCCAGGGGCACCCTCATAGGCGTGGGGCAGTCAGTGACGGCCGTGGGCCGGGTCATGGCCCCCCTCCTCTCCGGAGTTGCCCAGGAGTTCAGCCCTTGTGGCCCCCCCAGTCTGGGGGCGGCGTTAGCGTTGTTGGCTGTTTTCATAATGTTGCTGAACAAACCTCGCTATGGTGGTGACAGGAGCGGCAGATTAAAACGTGAATAGAATGGATTTGGACAACACAAGCGGAATCCGAGGGTGTGAGTGGGGAGAGGCCAGGTGAGAGGGTGCGTTGGGAAGGGTGAGTGTCTAAGTGGGACGTTTCCATGCGACTCCTGCAGGCCAGCCTCCAGCTCCGCGCCTAGGCCCATGGGACGATCAGAGCCCATCCAGGGGAATGAAAGCAGTGATGGGAGAAGAACCTGTGCAAGGGCAGAGGCCCACGGGTTTCCCTCAATAAAAGCAGACTGCAGTCAGCCGGGACACAGGCGCCTGTTCATTGTGTGAGCGAAGAGGGGCTTTTCTTCTGTCTGACCCTGGAGACTGAAGGAGCTGCTGAAAGCCTGTCTGTCATTCAAGTCAGAACAAGGTTATGGACGCTGGTTCCACCTGGGACCTGGTTAAGAGTCAGAGGCCAGCCTCACCCCTAGAGACTGATCCGCGGCCCGGTGAGGCCAGACATCTGCTGCATTCGGTAAGTACCTCGTGCAGTTCCTCGTGGAGGCAGAGAAAGGAGCTCTGAGACAGGCTGGTTTTAGAGTAAAACCCAGAGAGACTTGGCTGCCTTTATTAGGCGCTAACTCTCCCCTTATTGGACTGCACTTCCCCAGCTCTCGGCACTGTAGCCCCTAACGTGGGTGCAGAATCAGAGTGGCAGGCGTCACGCCTTCTCGGGGGACTTAATTCTGCAGCGTCTTGTGTTGAAGGTCATTTCCTTTGTTTTGCTGTCACAACTGTGAACGGAAGAGCTGTTTTTCTCCAGGGACATGGTTTGGTGAGCCTTTTCCGGGGCCTAGACTGGGCTGCCATTCCAAGATCAGTGCCCAAGGGGTGAGGGCCCAGGGGGGCTCGCAGGGCTCGGAGGAAGGCGCTGGTGGGCACTTCCTGTTTGGTTGACAGCAGTCACTAATGAAGTCAGGTAGGGCTCCCTCTCTTTCCTCACACAAATGACCCAAGTCAGTCTTCTCGTTCAGTCCACTAGGGTGTACAGTAAGTCCTGCTTCCACCCCCACGCACAGAGAACTGTGAATAAGGTTTTAACACACTTACTTTATGACTTTATTATTATAGGTAAAGCAGAAAAATATTTCTATAGGTTTAGAACTGGGATGTGGGGAAACTCAAATTTTTATGCTAAAGAACCAATTGGCATGTGAGGATTGTCCTTTCTCCTCCCTAATTGCAAGGAAAAGGTGAACTTTTCACTAAGTGTCATCACGCCGACCTGCTATGCAAGTGCCCGGTGCTGGAGGAGAGCGCACTGTGATGGACAGTGGCCTCCCCTGGAGCGACCAGCTCGCCATGCAGGCTGGACGGGAAGGCGGTGACCAGCCAAGCGTTCTGTACTGAAGGAGGATTTCCCCAGAGAAGGAGTTTTCTCCACCTCAGAAGGAGCAGGTTTCTTAGAAGCTGAAAGATAGCCTTGCTTTTATTTTTAAAACCAAAGCACTTTATTTTTGAAGTTAAATACAAGCAAGCTTCTAAACTAATGAGGCTTTATAGTTACTTGGATCCATGGAAACACTGAAAACCAGAGACGGCCTTGGAGAGAGACTGCTGCGCTGGGGATCAGTGTCTCGTTCACGTGATGATTTTTAGATAAACATGGTCTTACAGCTCCTCTTAAGTGGTCGAAGGTGCTGCTGCTGTGAGGGTGTGTTCTGGGGACCAGCAGTGCCAGGGCCCCTGGAACGTGCCTGCCTCCGACCTGCGGGGCCTTCCGCAGGACGCCCACGGCTCTGTGTGCTCTGTGTGCTCTGTGTGCCCTGTGAAAACCACTGCTGGGACCGACAGGGTTTGGATATGATGGAATATGACCTCAGGGAAATGAAATCTGCTCAGTTACAGTCCGTGTGGACTTGTTGTTTAAATCCTTCGGAGTAACATCTGTAACCCTCTTACATGGAGTCGTACTTCAGAGGCGTGGGACCTCCTGCAGAGTTTATAAAGGAAGTGGCACTGCTTCAGCCTAAAACCACTGCTGGGACTGACAGGGTTTGGATACGATGGAATATGACCTCAGGGAAATGAAATCTGCTCAGTTACAGTCCGTGTGGACTTGTTGTTTAAATCCTTCGGAGTAACATCTGTAACCCTCTTACATGGAGTCGTACTTCAGAGGCGTGGGACCTCCTGCAGAGTTTATAAAGGAAGTGGCACTGCTTCAGCCTGCAGCCACAGTGGTAGGTGCTGTGAGCAGGGGGCGGGTGGGCCCTCTGCCCAGAGGCCTGAGTGAAATCCAGAGGGAGCACGAAGCCTGGCCCAGAGTACTAAGCGCGTTCCCGTCTCGGCTCAGGCTCCTGGACCAGGCCTGGCAGGCTAGGCCTGGGGCACATGGAGGGGATGGAGGCAGTGGTCTCTGCCCACTGCGCTGCGTGTTAGTCACGGGCGCCCAGGCCTGCCCTGCCCTGGGGACCGGGCTCTGAGGGCCGTGTCTGTAAGGCACACAGGATGGAGAATGGTGGGTGGGTCTGAAGGGCTTCCCTACTCAGCGGGAGCTTCTCTGACAGGTGAGGGAGGGCCACTGAGGGTCCTTCCGGCTGCTCCATGGGCGGTGATGTTTAGAGATGCTCTGGCTGCGGCAGGAGGTGTGGAGGCCGAGAGGGAGCAGCCCGGTGTGGAGCAGGAGTCAGAGGTGGGCGCAGGGTGGGGGTAGGAGTGGGGGGTCCTGGCCCTGGGAGAGGGAGGTGGGCACGATCTAGAAGGCCGGTGACTCTAAGGGTGTGGCCTCCGGGGGGATTCTGGAAGCGGCGTGAGTGGCACCCCGGCGCCTGGTCTGGGCACAGCTCGGGGAGGTTAGAAAGGCCTGGTGAGTGTGGAGTGTGTCCTGCCGCCCGCCCGTGGGCCCTGGCAGAGGGCGCGGCGGGGCTGGGCTCTCTGGAGCTCAGACACTAAGAAGATGTTTCCTCCTGAGGACACGTCCTGAGACACTGAGAGGCCCAAGGGCTGGGGCATTTCAGGCCGGCGGCTCGCTGGATGGACTCCCTGGGGCTCACGCGGCCTCTGGGACTCTTGAACTGGGCGCTGCACCCACAGGGAGGCGTGCGTGCGAGCAGCGCCCAGAGCTGGGAGCCGGCTCGGAAGGGCCTAGTAGTGTATAAGGCACCAAGCTGAGAATCGGGCTTAGATCTAAAAATAAATAAATAAATAACCCCTTTTTAGTCCTAAATTTCTTTTCCTTGGAAAATTTGCCAATTACATGATAATCATTTTATTAAAATCCCTTTAAAATTGTAATGAAATGTTATTTATTCTAATTGTTACATTTTAGAAGCCATTCTTTTGTATTCTGTGTGTTTTAAAGCAGAATCCTGAAGTGCTTGAAAATTCCAACCCCCAGCACACAGCTCAGAGGTAAACCACAAGCCTAGTCTTTCACGGCCGCATGCAAGCACCAGATGTATACACAACCTGTAGTGCGGTCTACATCGCTGGCCAGCAGATGGGCTCAAGGTAACACGTCATTTCACACTAGGAATTACTTTTAATTAATCAGTCACACAAATACTGACTGACTTTAAAACATTAATTTACTCTAGATTTCTTGTTTTCCCAAACATATGGTCTAAACTCACCCTTTTATAGACAGTGTCTGTGAAAACAGTCACAAAATTTCTACTGTTTGCTGCTTCACTACATTGTAGGAAATAGCGCCAATTCTTATTTTGAAAATGGCTGCTCTCAGCTTGCTCCTGGGGGAAGAGAGCATAGAAACACGAAAGGAGGCGTGTTCCTACTGCTCACTCAATGGCATGGAAGTGGACTATAAGGATCTTGTTACAGCAAAGCACTGTATTTCGATCACCCTGGATTTAAAACACGTCGCATATTAATAAATAAAAACTCATTTTCCAAATCATACACTGCAGAGGACAAAAAAAGGAATTAAAATACCTATTAATAGTTTAAATTTACCATATGGGATGAGAGATGATCTTTCTTCTGGCTTAGCAAAGAGTCTATTGTGTTTTGAATAGCTGGGACTCAGGTTCGTATGCAGACAGAATTACCTTTCCTGTGACAGCTCACCACCAAACCCTCCCCGAGTTTGCTCAGTGTAACTGAAACCACATTGTGGGAGCAAGTTCCTCCTCGATCCTGCTTGACTGCGCAACTGTGGGAGCACAGGTCCTTGGAGGCCGGGCATTAGACGGAGAAGACATGAGCAGTCCTAGGCATATGTAGAGGCTTTATTGCAGACCAAGTAGCCATTGCTAACAAGGAGCCATCAGACAAAACAGTTCTTCCAAGTAGCCTCACAAAGCAGCTGTAAACAGGAGCTATCGGAGCAGCTTTGCACCAGCTGGTCAACAACACATCTTTATACCAACTTAGACAAAAGAGGCTTCTTGCCAAGTAGTGACACCAATGTCTGGGTTATAGAGAGCACACCTGCGCAGTGCGTACAGTACGATTGCTGTGTCCTTGCTTTTGCACCTGCGTAGGACAACTTGGCCTGGAACGTCTGGCATACTCTGATTAGGGTTCCCACACGTGAAATACCCAAAATGAACCTAATGCAATAAATGCGTTCTGCTGTGGACCAGGCCTGGCCCTGTGGGTCTGTGTCATGGCGGGCTTGCTCTGTGCTGGGGTGGAGGCCCAGGCCAGGACATCCTGAAGGCTGACTTCTGACAGTGCCAGATGGTGATGTCATGGCCAGGGTGAGCATTTTTTCCTGGTCCCCTTCAAAGCATGTTCTCTGTGTCATTTCTAGCTACAGGACTTAATTAGATGTCTGAGAGCCAGAGGTAATTATGGAAGCAGATACAGGTGGTTTTGATCAGGTGAGCCTAAAGTTTGGTGGGTTGACACGCAGCTCTGCAATAATCTTTAAAAATCATTTGGTAGGGCAGTGTGGGCATTATCCTGACTTTCTGTTGGTTGGCTTGAGAAGGCAACATTTGCACTTAAGAGCACACATTATCTTTCACCCAAGCATCTCCTTACATATAGAGAAGTTAGGACCAATTATAATCTTTATTCCTCTGATCAGGTTTTCTAACACAGTAATAGTGTTAACCTCATGTTAGATGTGTGTATTTGAGATGAAAAGAATTGAAATGTTTAATACTCTTCAAGATTTACCTTTCATGACTTCCAGCCATCATGACCCCATTTTAGTACAAATGAGAGTGGTTTTGATAAACTAAAAAATTGGAATTTCTGGGACTGTCCTGGTTTCATGTTTTGTATTATTTTCTCCAGAAGTCATTAATTGCATATCCCCATGTGATTAAGATTTAAACTTTTGTACAACATTTCACAAGAACCAGGAAAAACCCTTGTCAGTGTAAATGCATAAAATCTGCTTGGCAAGCTGAGCCGCTGTGAGTGGGGTCAGAGAGCCTCGTGCATATTATGAATGTAGTGACTACTTGCAACCGTGATGCAACAGGACCCAACTCAATAAAAAAGAGGAAACGTTGGAATATTTAGTTCTAGTTATTTTGTTACAGGAGTGAAAGTCAGAAAAATCACCACAGGTGAGTTCGGCTTCCGTCCAATGTGGGCTTCTCCTGGAGACGTCGCCCAGGCGGGTAATGGCCATAGCCCCTGTGCGGGACACACTGAAGGTCCTGGCTGGGCTCAGCCATTCCAGTAACAAGCTCTCTCTATTGGAAAGCTGGTGACCTGTTCACAGTCCATATGTTAACTCCACAGAAAACTCAGTCTCTGAGCATGCAGGTAAGAGAACTGACCCACAACTTACTGACTACACTTACCAGGTATACCGGTCAATAATGGCAGATTTTGTAATCAAAGAAAAAACGAGAATTTCAAGAGAAACATCAAAAGTGCTTTATTCAAAGTAATGTCCATCGGTAGCTACACATTTCCCCCATCTTTCAGGTAATTTGTGGATACCGTCCCAATAGAACTTTGCTTGTTTTGAGGCAAACCATTCAGAGACCCAATTTTCCACTTCTTCATACGTTTTGAAGTGCTGCTTAGAAAGTGCATGTGCCATCGATCGGAACAAGTGGTAATCTGAAGGAGCAAGGTCTGGTGAATATGGCGGGTGGGTTCATACTTCCCAGGCAAGATCTTTTAATGTGTCTTTAACTGGTTTTGAAGTATATGCTGGTGAGTTATCATGAAGCAAAATTACTTTGC